TGTGATCAATATTTTGGTTTTATAGCTGTCAATTCTGAGAGCAACACTTCACATAAATACAGTGTACACAGCTGTAGAAGTATGTTTGGGCCATAACAAGAATTGCTGGAAACTCTGAGCTAATCCCAAGCCAAAATTCACTTAGCAATTTTCTTCAAAAATAAAATTTGTCGGCTACTCAAACGACAGTTTTGAAAATCAAGCATCGTGACATGATATAGCCCAAAGATATACCAATTCAATCCATGCTGAGAAACAACAGGGAAACATTTTGTTTTCTGTAATTAAACCACCGTGTTTCTGTAAGAGTAGAAAGCTTTGTATGTACAATGAAAACAGTGCACTGTGTAGCTTGTAACAGCCTGGAATCTGAGACGAGGTGTTTCAGGCTGTGTTCACGTGTGGCTTCCTGGTGCAAGTGTGAGTGTGTATGTTTAGAACCATGGGTGCGGGAGGTCACGTGACAGACAGGACAACCGCTGCCAGGAATGCCACTGATTCAGCACACCTGTGATTTTTGGAATTTTTTTTTGGTAACGTGTGCTTGGAAACCTTTTACTATTGCCTTTCCTGTGTGTGTGTGTGTGTGTGTGTGTGTGTGTGTGTGTGTGTGTGTGTGTGTGTTGGGGGTGGGATTCTGACATTCACAGCCCACAGTTTAAGGGGCTGTGCCTAGGGCTGTGAAGAAAGATCAGTAAGACACTGAACATCAAAAGTAGAGAGGGATTGATGAAGACCACCTGTGATGGTTAGTGTTCATTGTCAATCAACTTGAAAGAATCTAGAATCACCTTGGAAGGAAATCTCCACGAGGGGTTGTTTAGATTAGCCTGACCTGTTTGCAACTTGATTATACTAGTTAAGCTGGGAAAACCTGTGTACCGTGGGCGGCACCAGTCCATACGCAGGGGATTATGGTCTGTTAGAGAGTGGAGGAGAGCAGTATTGTGGGTGCATTCACTGCTCTCTTCTAGCTGCTGGATGTAACACGGCCAAATGCTTCACGAGACCGGCATTTCGACATCCTCACCATGATGGATTATAACTTGGAGCTGTAAGCCGTAATAAACCCTTTCTGACTCAAGTTGCTTTCGTCATAATATCTTACCACAACTGCAGGAAAAGATGCTGAGACACACTCATTGTCAACCTCAGGTTCACAGACATGCACACACGCACACATCTGCACCCATGTGCATCCACACACGTGTAAACTTGCTCACACACAGCCCCTCCCACTCCAGTTCCATTCTACTCCGGAGCTCTCCTTTGCTCCACACTGCAGCTGGAAGCTGGGGGATTAGCTTCTGTTCCCTAACTTCGTTCTCTTCCTCTTTGAGAGTCAGAGCAGCCCAGACTTGGGCCCAGAGAGCCCACCCCTGCCCCAGTGCCCCTACCACATAGTAAAAGGCTCAAACGTTTCCTCTGGATCTCCAGCACCATCATCAGCATAGCTCTCCCAAGTCATCCAAAGCCAAGAGTCATTCCTGAGGCTAAGCAGAGGCAGGGAACGGGGAGGGAGCTGTGGAGCTTCTGTGGACCTGGCCTGGTAGCTGAGGCAGGAGCCAGGAGGCCCTCTTGACTCCTGCCCTCCTGCTCCACCTGCCCCTGTGTACCTAGCATGTGACCATATACGGAGCCCACACAATATCTCTGCTGTTTCTGTATAGTCTTGCAGTCAAATAGAAAAGGGTGCCCAGTTCCAGTTCACTGCTGGAAATACTGAGACATTAAAGAAAACATCAGCTTGGGTATTTTCAGTGGAAACTGGAGTTTGCTTGTGATCCTAGCTTGCTCTCTCTACCCACTTTCCATCCAGCATCAACTACCATCCAGCTTCCCTCCTGCTCTTGACCCCCCCCCCCCAGAGCAGCAGATGGGCGGAGCCTTCTTGTATGGAGTTCTGGGCTCAGGAGCCTGGGACTTGGTTAGCTCATGCCAGTACTGAGGGAGTGCCCAGCAAATAATGAAATGTTAAGTTTTCAGTCGCCCAGAGCTGAAGCTTAATGGAAGGTACTATTAGATTCAGCAAGACACAAAGGAGTCTTAACTGAGCAGAACCGATTAGCTAGCTCATGAAAGGGGACCAGATTAGAGCTCACACCGTCCCGCATGTAGACAATCGCCGAAGTATACCTGCACTGGTTTTAATTAATGCCACAGAGACGGAGCACTCTGTAGCCCCAAATGCTATTGTTCAATAAACTTTTTTAAAAAGACACATTTAATAGAGAGAAGTGGCTCAAAACACATTTCCCAGAACCCACACCTCGATGGTGGGTTTTTCTCATACCTACTTAAACGGAAAACCCATGAGTCAAAACTGCTGCTGGTGTCTAATAGAAGATTTGGGCTGTTCCATCACAACCCCCAGCCTCCTGCATGGTGCCATGAAAATGTACATTTCCCATAGAAGTCAAATATAGGACCAAACACACCACAGCAAGGGGCTTTCCATTTTTAGCCAACAGCTCAGACCTTTCTGTCTTGCTTAACCCTTCAGGAAATTCTAAACGGATCCAGACTGCTCTGGATTTTCTGTGCAAAAGTGACCTTCAGTGAGATGGCCACATGTGAGCAGTTTTGAAACTTATGGAGCTGCATTCAAGTCTTCTCAAATCCTGGCCAATTTGGCTGGTGGTCAGAAGAGAAGGGTTTGGCCTGAGGGCTCTAGGGAGGGAGTTTCAGGGAAGGAGGACCAGCAGCCATCCACAGTTTGTAGTTCTGGGGCTTCCGCCCAAGATCAAAGTGCATGCAGGCTTGCTTCTTGCTGGCCTCTTGTAGATTTTGGAAAGAAAATGCCTGTGTCCTGTTTGTAGAAGGAAGGCCAACCTCCTCCAGCTGTGACCCTACAGCAGCCTCTCCACCAGGCGTCTCCACTGCACGAAACACCCAGATGCCCCTCGCCTCTCAGTAAGGCGTACCGCGGTGCTATGGCACGTTCAGAGGGCATGCCTCAGAAACCACTGATGCCGACTTTGAGGGGCTGCAGAGCAAATGGCAGCCCCTCACAGGCATGCACACCCTTGTGGTCTTCCAGACCGCACAATCTGTATTTAGTAAAATGGCTTCTCCTGTCTTCCTCGCTGAACCTACCTAAGCCCCTGGATGTTCAGGTCTGGGCTATGGCACTCACGCACGCGCGCGCGCACACACACACACACACAGGGGCAGCTGTTTGCATTGCGAGTTATGTCTTAGTAAAGATGCTAAAAGCAAATAATGCTGAGGCACTCAGTTCTCCTTGGCACTAGTCACATCTCAAATACTCATAAGCCAGCTGGCCAACGGCTATTGTTATCGCAGGTAAAAGTGACCAGATACCACCTGAGTTTCAGTGGGCTGCTCAAGGTTGACCAGGCAGTTGGACTTCCTGCTGTCGGTTTCCAGACCCCACCAGATCTGGGACACTACCTACCCTCTCCAATTATTGGTAAGACTGAATCCTATGTCCCAGGCATTTGAGCTTTGCAAGTTGAGTAGCCTCACCCATCATGCTGGCTAGCTTTATTGTTGAGTCAACAACATACCACGGTCATTTGGGAAGAAGTGACCTCAAGGGAGAAAATGTCTCCCCCATCATTGGCTTAATGATTGACATGGAAGGCCCCTGTCCACCGTGGGTGGTGTCACCCCTGAGTAGGTGGCCTTAGATTGCATGAAAAGCAAGCTGAGCAAACCATGGAGAACAAGCCAATGAGCAGTGTTCCTCCATGGTCTCTGCTTTGGCATCCGAGAGGAGAATGTCCTTCAGGGTTAGTACACTTTTGTGTTCTTTCTGGGGCAGGTGACCAATTCAGTTTTAAGCCCTGTGCCACCCGATTCCTCAGCAAATCCTCACAGTGTGCCAGTATTCCCCTGCCATGAATCATCCCAGAGTCGGGTACCAAAACAACAGAGAGCATCTTTATCCTGAGCCTGCCAGGACTCCAGCTTCCCAGCCCTAAGCACCCAGAATACTGCGTACACAGTGATCTTAATGTTAGTGTTAACTGTCACTGTCGTCCAACCTTTCTCATCATGGATTTCCTTTTCTGGGTAGCACATCATAGACTGGGGTGAAATGCAAATGCAATAAATATTGTGAGACATTCCCCCAAATAATACCGCGCGTGCTGTGTTTTAGTGCATCCGTGTTGCAGATCGTCCCATTAAAGAACAACACTGCCAGTGGCCTGGTATACCAGTCCCATGATTCATGAACGGGCACGATCTTGAGCGACTAAGAAATCCAGCTCACAGAATACATTTTAGTAGTCTTTTTCAACCAGCAGTCTTAGGCCCATAGAAAAAAAAAGCAATTTCCCAGACCCTATCTCTACAGCACCCCCCACTATGAACATCCCTGTGGGAGTGGAATGCTTGTCACATCCGAGGAAACTATGGGGAGAGACTGCCATCATCACCCACTCGACTCACAGTGTCCATTAGGGCCCCCTCTCGCTGTTGTGCATTCTGTGGGTTTTGACAAAAGAGAATGACATGTTTGCCACCACATGATCAAACAATAGCTCCACTGTGCTATCCGGCCTCTTACTGGCTCTGCCCATTCACCCTTCCAACTCTACTTGAACTTCTGCTCTTCCTGCCTCCGTTTCCTAAGTGAAGAAAGCTGGGATCACAGACGAGCATCCCCAGGCCAGTCTGTGTGGCAGGGAGAGCATTCACAGGGCCTTGGGCAGTGCTAGGCAAGGCCTCTACCCGCTGAGATACATCTTGGCCCAGTTTAGGTTTTTAACCCATTTCCAGGCCATAGAAGGATCCAGGCTCGATAATCCTGGTAGTAAGAACTGTGGGCCGGGCTGGAACCAGAGATTTTCCAGCCTGAGGAAAGATGAGAGGGAGTGTGTGTGTGTGGGGGGGGGGGAGGTATCGGACTGGAAGAACTGACTCCCTTCAGAGGAGTGGGGGATGGGGAGCACAGGCGCTCTGGGAGGCAATGGTGATAGTCACAGGAAACCCTTGGGTTAAGGGTTAGCTAAGCTCGCCTCCCTTTTCACCCTGTAACATGGAGCAATTTCCTTTTTCACCGTGGAAGCTGCGACAAGTTGTAGGGGTAGGGAACAAGGTCACCCCGCCAACAGGGCAGCGCTCCAGAGTGTTAGAAACCCTTCTATGTCTACCTGCACCTAGGACAGAAAGGATGCGCCCAAGAAGTGTGCAACTGCCTCTTGAGGAGTTTGGTGAGCAACAGGCAGAGGTCCTCTCTCCCCTCTCACCCAGAGGTGCCCAAGGGACTAGGCAGTCTGAGTCGGTGTGGCCTTAAAGCTCTGGGCCATAACCCCTAAGCCCGCAGGCGCAGCGGATCGCTCAATAGCAGCCGCTGTGCAGGTCTGCCCAAGGGTTAACTCGTTCCTGGGCAGCTGCTGCGCTTGTGGTGCGAAATCTCACCAGAAGAGGGTACAGTAGCAATGCGTTTGACGTCAGGCTGGAATTCCTATTGTGTTTCGGGAAGGCTCTGGCAAAGCCAGTTCAAGTTCGCTCTCTGCACATCCCGATTGTGTAGCTCCTGGGCCGGCCCACCGACGCCGCCTGCTTGCCCCGGGAAGGAGGTCGCTGCCCGCAAGGAGAGTCTGGTCCTATTCCGGAGGGAGCTGAAACGACATATCCGGAGCCGTGGGTGAGTGTCCCGAACACCGGAGGCCATCGGCAGCAGAGTCCCCTGCCGAGGTGCCTGGATGCCCGTGCGCAGCCCCGCCACTGCCTCCGCTGGGTGCATGGCTCCCCCGCGGTACGCCCCAGCCTGCCACCGCCCGCTGTGAGTGCCCTTCCCAGCAGGTGGCTGCTGTCCCCGAGGGCCGCGCATTGGCAGGGCGCAGGGAACCCGGGCTTGCGAGCGCACCCGCGGGGAGCATGGACGCGTCTGCAGAGCAAAGCCTCCCGGAGGAGCCAGAGCAAAGCCTCCCGGAGGAGCCAGAGCAAAGCCTCCCGGAGCCTGGCAGTCAGGACTCCGTGGCAGGCGACGATATTGAGATCGTGGTGAATGTGGGGGGCGTGCGGCAGGTGCTCTACGGAGACCTGCTCAGCCAGTACCCCGAGACCCGGCTGGCGGAGCTCATCGACTGCTTAGCAGGTGGCTACGACACCATCTTCTCCCTGTGCGACGATTACGACCCAGGCAAGCGCGAATTCTACTTTGACCGGGACCCGGATGCGTTCAAGTGTGTTATCGAGGTGTACTATTTTGGAGAGGTCCACATGAAGAAGGGCATCTGCCCCATCTGCTTCAAGAACGAGATGGACTTCTGGAAGGTGGACCTCAAATTCCTGGATGACTGTTGCAAGAGCCACCTGAGCGAGAAGCGCGAGGAGCTGGAGGAGATCGCACGCAGGGTGCAGCTCATCCTGGACGACCTGGGTGTGGACGCCGCTGAGGGCCGCTGGCGCCGCTGCCAGAAGTGCGTCTGGAAGTTCTTGGAGAAGCCGGAGTCGTCGTGCCCGGCGCGGGTGGTGGCGGTTCTATCCTTTCTGCTCATTCTTGTCTCCTCCGTGGTCATGTGCATGGGCACTATACCCGAGCTGCAGGTGGTGGACGCTGAGGGCAACCGCGTGGAGCACCCGACGCTGGAGAACGTGGAGACTGCTTGCATCGGTTGGTTTACACTGGAGTACCTGCTACGCCTCTTCTCGTCGCCCAACAAGCTGCACTTCGCCCTGTCCTTTATGAACATCGTGGATGTACTGGCCATCCTCCCCTTCTATGTGAGCCTCACACTCACGCACCTGGGCGCGCGAATGATGGAGCTGACCAACGTGCAGCAGGCTGTGCAGGCCCTGCGGATCATGCGCATCGCACGCATCTTCAAGCTGGCCCGCCACTCCTCGGGCCTGCAGACCCTCACCTACGCCCTCAAACGCAGTTTCAAGGAACTGGGGCTGTTGCTTATGTACCTGGCTGTGGGCATCTTCGTCTTTTCCGCACTAGGCTACACCATGGAGCAGAGTCACCCTGAAACACTGTTCAAGAGCATTCCTCAGTCCTTCTGGTGGGCCATCATCACCATGACCACAGTGGGCTATGGTGACATCTACCCCAAGACCACGCTGGGCAAGCTCAACGCAGCCATCAGTTTCTTGTGTGGGGTAATTGCCATCGCCTTGCCCATTCACCCCATCATCAACAACTTTGTCAGGTACTACAACAAACAGCGTGTTCTGGAGACTGCAGCCAAACATGAGCTGGAGCTGATGGAGCTCAACTCCGGCAGCGCAGAAGGCAAACCCGGGGGCTCCCGCAGCGACCTGGACACCCTGCCCCCAGAGCCTGCCGCCAGGGAGGGGCCAAGCTGGGGCAGCCGGCTAAAGCTCTCACACAGTGATACCTTCATCCCCCTGCTGACGGAGAAACACCATAGGACCCGACTCCAGAGCTGCAAGTGATGGCTGGGCTCCCAGGCAGGGGCAGACTGAGCTGTAGATGGATGGACCATTGGGTAGGCATGTCAGTAGTCATGTCTGCGGCTTCAAGGGAGCTGCCTGTGTCTTCCAGCCCTCCCCTGAGCAGACACTGCCAAGGCTGGGTAAGAATCTTTAGGTGCCAGCTGTCCAGGCAGAAGGGGTTTGGGGAGTGCAGGAGCCACTGGACAGCTTGGGGCTACTGGAATGGCCTGGCAGGAGCCCACACCTGCTGTGTCTCCATCCACAAAACCTCCTATCCAGCATACCCTCCACGTTATGGGTTGTCTCAGGCTGGTTGTTACCCCAAGAGTGGCTCCCACACACCCTAGTGCCAGGCCAGAAAGGAGGTGTGCAGCCCCAGAGGGAGTGGGGGGGTAGCTATTTTTAGCTGAGATCTAATTAAAGAAGAGCAGCAAGGCAGGGTTCAGCTCCAAGGCGCCTTGCCACATTCCACGAGACACTCTCCTGCTTCCTTCTGTGGAAAAGCTGGCTCCCTGAGGCTTGGAGAGGGAGGAGAGGTTGCAGGCCCTGCTCGTGGGGCAACTGGCTCATAGTTGTCATCTGTAGGACTACTCCTTTTCATCCCCCCTTTTTCCTTTCCAGCTACCCTGATAGACAGTTATCCCCATTTTACAGATAAAGAAACCGAGGCTCAGGGTCACACAGAAGAGGAATTCAGGTCTGGTTCTGATTGTCCCTGAGTTCACGTCGTGTCTCCAACACCAGGCAGTATTGGGCCAGAGGCCTTTTGCAGGGTTTATAAGGGTGGGGCTGAGTTTCTCTGCGGTTTGTGTCGGGGGAGTGGGGACTTCAGAGAATCCCAGTTGTCAGTTCAGATCCTGGTGTCAGTGCGTGCTCAGCCAACCATAGCTGTTTCTATTGTTCTATGCTGGGAAGGGAGTGAGTTACATAGCTGCCCACCGTGGTCTCCACTGGTCTGGACTGGGCATTAGGGCACTCAAAAGCAGGGGACTGTAATACTGTTCTTGGCCAAAGCCTAAGAGCTGACTTTTTCTTGGTTTCCAATTCTAGGAGTCAGAGAGCCCTGCCCTTCACCCCACCCCAGCTGAGAGGACACCAAGGACGGAGCACTGTGTTAGAGCAGGAGGTAGAGGCTATAAGTGGAGGGATAGGGCTTGTCTTCCATCTGCCTCCACCCTGGGCGGCTCCTTTCCCTTCCCTGGGCTCAGATTTTCCCAGAAGTAAGAGGAGGGCTAATTTCTCAGGGTGCCTCCTAGGTCTGCCTTTCCAGAATTTCCAAGGTTTGGGCTGCTGATTCCTGTGGTAGGGTTTCCAGGAGGTGGGAGGTTGTCACTTGGAGGGGGAAGTCTTGATTGTATCTGCAGGGTACATTCTCAATGCAGAAGGTGCTCAGGTAGAGATAGATCAGACCTGGAGTAAATGCCCGTGTAGCCAGGATGTTAATGGCTGTCCAAGGGGACACAGAGACTGCCCCATGCCTGCCGCCCCCCCAGCCCTCTCACTTAGGACTTTGAAGGTCGTTAACACCTCTGGTCAGGCTGGCTAAGACACTGTTTGCTCTGAACTGTGTTGTGTGCCCCTCTTCACGCTTCTCCAGGATGCATCAGGTCCTATGAGCATCAGAGGCAGAGGAAGAAGTTGGGGTCTGAGGAAAAAAGCAGGGGAGGGCAGGGCCTACTGGGGTAAGTGGGTTCTTGGGGCTCAGCAGATTTGCTGAGAGTTGGCTTGCCTTTGTTTATACCCTTTACCCCAGAGTTCTTAAGATTTAGCACCTGGGCACCATCCTGAGAACTCAGAGCTCCAGGACAAGGGAAGTGCTCAGGATTTAAGGAGAGAGTGGGCAGAAGGCCATCTTCCTGTGTTCTCTGACTTCTGGGGCAGTGATGCTGGAGATGAGGATGGAGAGAATGAATTACAGGGGAAGAGTACGCCCAGTTCCAGAGCATCTTTGGCTCACTGGGCATGGGAGACCATCTGTGAGGTCTCCCCAGCCTAGGATCCATGAGGACACTGAGTCCAGGGGGAATTCAGTGACTGGCAGCATCCTTACACAGTGATACACTTTGTCATAGAGGAGATCTCTGGGTTTCAAGTACTTGAACTTAGCTATACCAACCAGGGATAGCTTTGAAAGCTCAGTGTCCAGGCTACACTCTACTCCTATGAAATGAAGATGTCTGAATGACCCTCCAGCATCAGTATTTTTATAACTTAAAGTGCACATGAGTTGCAGTGATTGTGTTAAAGCCAGGATTTGGATTTGTAGAGCTCGGGAAAAAAAAACTATTCTTTTTCAGCAAGCTCCCAGATGCAAGCTGGAGGCTGGAGGCTGGGGCTGCTGCTCCACAAACTGGTTCTGAATGATCAGAATAAGCCTGTAAACTGCAGCCTGTGGCCAGATCTGGTGGATCACCTGTTTTTGCACAACCCATGACTTTAGAATAGGTTTTATATTTTTAAATGTTTAAAAAAATCCCCAAAGGAATACAATTTTTGTGACCGGTGATTAGTACTTTAAATTCAAATTTTGTTGTCCATAAATAAAGTGTTATTGGAACTAGCCTGCCTGTTTGTGTGTTTTGGGATTGCTAGTGATGGCTAAGATGGAACAAGACAGAGCTGAGGTAGACCAGATGGCTCCCAGAACATGAATGACTAATTCTATGGCCCTTACAGAGGAAGTTTGCTCACTCTGGGCTGGAAAAGACAACCAAGATAGCCTCAGGGATGCCCAAGAACCCTTCCAGAAGAACAACCAAGCATTTCCCAGGAGTCAGGAATTTTGGGAGGGACACATGGGTGCTGATGGCTCCGGAGACGGATGTAGCTAACTGCCTTCACACCACAGGGTAGAGTAGGAGCTCCAGGACAGAGGCCTCTCTGTCCTTACTGTTTCACAGGCTCTCAGCTCCCCACTTCCTTTACTCCTGGAAGTTCTCAGCCTGGCTTCCCTTTCTGCCTGCTCCCTGCGGTGCAGGCTTGCCTGATCTTTGCATTTGCTGTCTCCTAGACCCTGTTTCCTGGCATCTCTCTTTTAGGGATGTTGTCTCACCTGCTTCTCCTCCTGTGTGGGCATCTCTCAACATACCATAGCCTGCTCACATCTGTTAAGAGTGAGACAGTGTTTTGGAATTGCGGGAGGCCTGTGCTGACGGAAAAATGAGGTATTGTTGAATTTAACACCCTCTTCACATAGGTGGGAAAGTGTGGTCCTGAACCACTCATTACAGACCTTTGGGTCCCAGGGATACCTTTTTCTGATTCTGTTAGCACTGAGAGGCCACCATTGTGCCATTTAGTGTAAAGTTGTGCATGTGTGTAAATTGATTCCTAACCTCCAAAAGGAAAGGACACATGGTGACATATTCACATGCTATTTCCTTTGGTCTCTAAAGAACTACATGAAGTAAACTGGTCAGTCCATCTTACAGATGGGGAAACTGAGGCTCAGACAACTAAAGCCATAGGCTCATGATGGTGGCGGTGGCAGGAACCAGATGGAACCTTAGCTGACTTGCTCGTCTGAAGATGGGCAACCCAAATGCCACCCCACCCCCAACCCAGCAGCTGTGACCATATTCCAAGGCCCCACCTCAGAGGTGACCCAGCTCCTAATAAGGTGAAGGGTGCTGACATCTAGTTTCTGGAAGGCATCCCTCTGTTGGCTTTGCTGGTGGTGTTTTGTAAGGTAAGAAAAGAGGTCAATATATTTCCTCTGGTAAGCCACTCAGGTTCCATCCTGGCCACATAGCAAGGAGCTAGAGCCTCAGTCCTGATGTATCTCATAAGATAAATAGGGTGATCTGAGATAATGACAAGATTTGTTCCCTGAGGAAAGCTGATGAGGCAGGTATGACAGGATCAATGGCCTTACAGCGACAACCACTCGTTCCCAGACCTCTTCAGGCTTTAGCTAGAGAGGTGATGCTTGCAAGACCCAGCTCTTGCTCCCCTCTGTGAGAAAAGCTGCCCCTCCTCATGATTTGATGTCACAGGTTTCCTCTGGGGAAATGAGAAACAACTGCTTCCAGAGGCCTCCCACCTGTCGCCTGTAGGCAGACAGCTCTGTGCATGGTGTGCCGGGCGGCGCGTTTTATCATGAGTGAGGATTTCACTGACACCCATACATCCAAGATGGAACTCTCCACCCCAACACAAACATATACAGATTCTTTCCTGTGCCTGTAGCAGTCCAAGGTATAGCTGCAGGGTTGATGTGGACTTCTGGAAGGAGAGCCCACCAAGAACCAGAGAGACCGCTTATCTTTGTGAGGCTCTCAGCCACCCAGGCTCTTGGGGGCAGGACTGTCTGCAACTCCTCCAAGGAGTGACTTAGCTTTAGCTGGACTCCAAAGGGCAGAAGCCACAGGCTGGTACTGACGGCAAAAGTAGGTATTGTGCCTAGAGCTGCGAGGTGTGACCCCTTCCTGGCAGAAATGACCAGAAATTGTCTATGGTCACACAGGGAAGTCAACCATGTGGACTAAACAACTGAATAGACTTGGAAGCCATCCCTCCCCAGGAACCACAGCCTACAGCCACCACCAGTGACACCTCACACAGAACCTCCTCCAGTCCCTTCCCCGTGTGGGCTTGACTATAGTAGATGACAATGCCCTGGCAGGATTTCTACACACACACACACACACACACACACACACACACACACACACACACACACACACACACTACCATGCCGGGATCACTGTCATTGTCAGAAACATGGCTGGAAAGGCAGTCTGGCTTGCCACAGTGACAGCCCAGACTGAGGGAGGCACAAACGTTTGCACACACACACCCAGCTTCTGCTGGGTGCTCAGCCATCAGGAGCAGTACTCTCCAAGTCCTGCTCCCCAGCTTTCTTCCTCTTTCCTGGGCTTGGCTTATGTGAGTGAACCCTGGCCTTGAGTCTAGGTCCCAGGGGAGGCCCAGTCCGAGACTCTGACTGTTAGGGTTCACATAAACTGGACCCTTGAGAGTGCCTGCTGCTGCCAACTCTGCTCTTGTGTGAGAATGGGGGTGCAAGCCAGACACCTCTCCTGCTCTTTGGTGTCTCCCCAACTGCAAGGTGAAAAGGAGGCTGCTGAGCCCATCATATTTCTCCCTGGCATGGCCCCAAAGAATCGCTCACCCCATCTCCTACTCTCTCTCTCTCCACTACAGCAGGCCTGTGGTTTGTCACACACCCCACTGTGCACTGGAATTGGACTCACAGGGAAGGGAGAAAGGGGCTACTCGGAAAGGTCATGTCCCCTCCTACCTCCCAGATGTAACCACACTCATTGTGCTCCCTCCTCTGCGTGAATCTCCTGACTTTGAAGTGAGGCCCCTGGAGAAGCAGAAACAGAATCAGTAACTATGGGGCATGGTCCCCTCCTCTGCCTGGTGTGGACCACTCTACAAGAAAAGCCATGAGAACATTCTCATAGTCTACCTGCCGGTGCTGGGGTGGCAGCCGGCATCCCTCCCCACAAACTTCAAGGAGCAACAGGGCCAGATGATGGCAGATGGAGGGACCAGAAGGCATGGAGCTCCTGGGACCCACCAAGATCATGGCCAGACGTGACCATTGGGTGTCTGCTGTCCCTCATCCTAGATCACTGAAGGAGTAGGGAAGGTCTCAGGACATGCCTGGTTATCTGAGGACACTGTCAGGTGCCAAGATCCCATCATGACTGTAAAGAACCTCTCACTTTATTGTTGGAGAGCAGTGTTAAAATCTCAAGGGGACTGTGCATGTCTGACACTTACATTTCAAAGGTCTAGCAAGAAACAGTAAACGCTAGGAACTGTCACATTCATTCTGTAGGAATTTGTGTGTTCATCACAGCATCTATTTTATTTTTCTGTGTGTCAGACACTGAATTTAGTGGCAGACCCCACGAAGGGTCTCTGAGCTGTCATGTCTGAACATGGAGCTCATAGATTGGTGGGCCACGAACCCACACTCCCCATGTGCCCCTTTAGAGAAAGAGCAGTAAAGAGCTCATGTTTGGAAAATAGTCAATCAAGTTGTCCCTGGCCTGGGCACTTCCTATCTTCTCTGATTAGGAAGGGCTATTTGAAAAAATGGCCAGGTAGCCTTCACTGCTGGCGGTTAGGGAAACTCCCAGCCTGATGTCTCTGCTGACCCTGCTCCGTCCTCTGGGACTCCTCCCTGGTGGCTATCCTCCCACATGGTTGCAAGGGTCCCTCCCACATCTGCATTTGAGAGTAGTGCCCCCAAGGTTGTCAGATCCACATCAGCGGGGCTGGGTCACCGGCTTCTGAGACTGACACTTCTCCCTCACTACTCAGCAGGCTTCCAGTGGTTTCATAGCCTTTGTCAGATACTGTCATCAGCTGTGTGTCATCATGGCTCAGACCCCAGTCAACTCACAATGAAAAAGGGTTTATTTTTGGCTCTCAGTTTCAGAGACGTCCATGGTTGATTGGACTCATTGCTTTGATCTGTGAACATAACAAATACAAGGAAGAGCAAACCCACTTACCTTGTGGCCCAGAGGAAAGGGGAGGAAGGATGGGGGAGTGGGAGAAGAGGATGGGGGGAGGGGAAATACGAATAAATATTATTGGGTTTCTACTGCTAGCATCAACTTCAGTCAAGAAGATACCCGTTTCCTCTACAGGCTATGGCCACTTCATTCCTGTGTGTGGGAGAGCTGTGTGCTATGTGCAGCAGGCCCAGGCTTCTGGGGCAGTCATTGCAGGAGTAGGGGTTACAGCAAGGAGGACACTGGTGTCACAGAGAGCTGTGGAGGAGGCAGCTGCCTTCCGCTCGGTGTTGTCCTCCACCTGTAGGTAGCAGGCACATGCTCTACCCTCACCTGGCTATGCTTGCATGAACAGATGCTGGGTCACCTCATCCTGAGCTCTCATTCTAGGTGTGTTCTCCTAACACCCTTTACGTTCATTTATTGATGCCTGCCTCTACCCCTTACCAAGTGTCTTAGTCAGGGTTCTAGCGCCGTAAGGAAACACCATGACCACAGCAACTGTTACAAAATAAAACATTTCATCAGGGCTGGATCACAGTTTCAGAGTTTTAGCCCATTATCATCACTGTGGGGAGCGCGGCGGCAGGCAGGCAGACATGGTGTTGGAGAGTTAGCTGAGAGTCCTACATCTGGATCTGCAGGCACCAGGGAGAGAGAATGACACTGGGCTTTTAAAACCTTAAAGCCCACCCCAGTGACACACTTCCTCCAACGAGGCCACGCCTAATCCATAAGGCCACACCTCCTAATCCTTCTCAAATAGTGCCACTCACTGATGACTAAGCATTCAGATCTATGAGCCTATATGGGTCATTCTCATTCAAACCACCACACCAAGTAGCCACCTATAGAGCAGGGAGAGTATCTAACACCCTCTGCCATGGGATGGACTGGAAGAAACCCTAAACCCAGCCTTGCCTGGTGATGAATGCTTGTTGAGTGAATGAAACACCAAGCCTGTGGTGAGCTGAGGTTTGGTAAGTGGGACAGTGTTTTGCCAGAGCTGATGCCCAGCAGAAGGAGCTTCATGGAGGCAGCCATCTCTGAATCATCCTAGCCCAAC